GCCTGTTTTTCTTGCCTTCGTGACTGATAGTTCTTTAATCATCCCTTCAACCATGCTGTCTGGCAGTGGCAAATCTCCGTTGATCTCCATTGATCTCCCTTTTTTCCCCCTTTTTTTTTTTTTTTTTAGCCAGAAATACCTCTTGCTGCATTTGTATGGATTTTAACACTACAGTTTAACTTCTCTTTGTAGTGATTTTCCCCTCATTTTCTCAGGAGTTCTTGCTTAATAAGAGTTATTCATGGCATACATTCAAATCAACCTGGCTTTTTGAAACAGCATAAAGACTATGAGGAGATACTGCCTTAAAAGCATGTTTACCTCTTTACACTGAGTATGCGTTCTGCACTATATGAACTATATGAATTGAAGAGTTAAAATTTGTTCTGGATTTGTTTTATGTAAAAAAAAATGCGTGTACTTTGGAAGTTAGTAAGAAAAGAGACACTTTCAAAAACAAAAATCTCCCTGAATTTCTCAATGATAAGAAATTTACAGAAATTCATGGTTTACTCTTCACAAATCTTTTTGTTTKTTTGATTATATAATATAAAGACACAGAAATTTGACGATTCAGGAAACATGGTTTTCATAATGGATTGATTCGTCTATTTTAATATTTTGCAAGGCTTATTTTAAATGCATTTCTGGAGAAGTAATTTGAAAGCACATTTTTCTAAGAGTTTTAGTATTGGCTAATTCATCTACAAAGTACATAAGTCATCTATATTTATAATCATCTGTACAACAGGTTCTCAAGATTTTGTTCCTTAAAAGCCCCTTCCAGCTATAATAACAAACTTTTCTCTGYAGAGCTGGAGCTCAAACCACAGCTCTGACAAGCCTCAATCCCATCCAAGATTGGCACAGTGCTTGCTTCTCCTGGAAACAACAGAATTCAAACAGCAATCGCAGCAGAGCTCAACTGTCTACTTAGGATCAAGCTTATTTTACAGCCACAAGCTGTGCCAAAAGACATTCCTACCTACTGATTTTTAAATAGCTGGGTAGCTCATGAGGGCAGGCAGTAACCGCTGCATTCAGCTGATGCTAACTGTGGTTGCAGTGTTCATCAACATATAGACCTACATGCACACACACTTATGTATCTGAAGAATTCTGATCATGATCTGCCTATCAAAATGATTTTTTTTTCTTTCAAATTTCATTTAGAGGAACCATAATCACTGTACAACAAAAATCCATAAGGCACCAAGAAGTTGAAATAGATGACAAGTGCAGATGCCTATGAAATGGGGTGGGAGGGGTTGGGATTAAGGGCTAGAATAGGGAAAATGCAGAAGAAAAGACAGGGATATGGAACCTGTGAAGAAGAAAGACAGATACAGATTGATGCAGTTTAAAGGGAAGGATTAATGGTGGGAGGTAGCAGCTCTGTATTTTCCTAAACAAYGTACACAATACAGCACAGCAGTTGCCTTCTGCTGCAGGAGTGTCTGAAGCCCTCTCTTCCTGGATCCTGTTTTTTATTTTTCTGTTTTTCAGTTGTGTTTCATTTTTAATTCTTGAATGTTTTTAAGTCAAAAGCTTCCAGTAGCAATTCACTAGGGATTTCAGAGGAGGCATGCTGCTTGTGTTTATTTCAAGATAGCTCCATAGCAAACTTTTCAGACACAAAGAGGTTCACTTAGAAAAGTACTGGTTTGTGTTCAATGAGTTTTAAGGGCAAGTGATGAAATAGTGCATATACCCATATAGATCCTATGAAATTAGAGGCCATACTCTTCCACTGGCCAAAATATCTGCTCTGTGGGGATCCGACCTTATTCTCCATAGCAACAGGCTGTAGAGTTTTCTGAAMCTGTGAGCTGGTTGTGTTTAAAAGTACATGAAGACATAGACAATAACTTTGTGCTTAGGTAAAAAGAGTCACGGCCCTGAAAGTGTTTGCATGCATTTTCTTTCTTTTGTTGCATTCCTTGCCTAACTCTTACTTTAATGGTGTCCCCCAGTGGCTCATTTTAAACTGTTGGTAGTGCCTACCTCCTTCTGACTGGAAGTATTTGCAGGAAGGTAAGTGCCACAGTCAGCAGAGAGCAAAAGCCTGCAGACATTTTTGGTCACAGCAGTGCAACATCACTTATGGGGACGGTGAGGTCAAGCCCTTCTAAACCTTTGGGAGGGAACCTTTTCTTGACGCTCATTTCCTCTGCAGGGATGTGATGGGAGAAACACGCAGCACAGAGAATCAAGCACAGGGTCCCATTATATCTGTCTACACAAATAGGAGACCAGTGTGTTTCCTCTAATATAGGAGGTTATAAGAGCCCAAAGAGAAAGTTATTCATAGACACCTTTTTCAGGGTAGTAAGAAATGGAGGGAAAAATCCTGAAGCAAGGAAAAGCAAGCAAGGAAGATCAGAGATTCTTGATGATAGGGTTAAGAAAGAATTAAAGATGACTTTCAAAATGACTGCTTATATGAAAATACAACTAAGAATGCAAGGGAAGAAGATAAGGCAGCTGAAGGCAAAGCCAGCAAAAGAAGGTAATCATTCTGAAAAAAAAATACATATATGGAGAAATGAAAAAATGAAAGCACAAGGAAAGGAAGAAAATGGGAAAAAAAGTCAAAAGAATCTGTAGGAAAATGAATGTAAAAAATCCAGTGAAATAAAACAGAAAAAAAAGAGGCAAATCTTTAATTCTAGATAGTTAAGGGAAAAAAAAAAAAAAGGAAGAAGAATTGGAAGAAATTGCATGGTACAGAAATAGATTTTAAAAAGTAAAAGAGAAGAAAACCACTAAAATATAGTCTCTTTAACAGTGATATTAAAATACTTTTAGTAGTGTAGACAATGGAAAAATATATATTTTTATGCAACTAATTTTTCTCTGACTTCAAATAGATAAGATTTCTGTAAACTATGTTTATAATGCAGGTTTATCTGTTTGAGAAACATGAATGCCTATGCAGAGGACAGATCTTGCAAAGTTATTGAGTATCTTTACCTGCCTATGGGAGTAAAAACTTTCCTTCGACTGTATGTAATTATTTTTCTGTATTTATTAGAAGAAAATAAATTTAGAAAAATTAATTGTGTTAGAGGAAAATAATATTAATTCTCTAAAGCCTAAAAGGAATAGTATGGATATTTTATTTTGTATTTTTATTTAATATTTACAATGCAATGGATATATATTACCATTGGATAAAATATAAAACAAAATTCAAAAAGCAGTCCCATCTTGGAGAAATTTTTGGTAACATGCTTCTTGAGAACTGTTGTTCATACTTGTAGTATGAGACAAGAATCCATCAGCAGATAAATCAGCTTTAGATAATATTTATTCTCCCACTAAAAGATGTGGAGCACCATCCTTCTGCAGCCCTCTCATGCTTATATATAGAATCATTGTCTGCTCTCAAGAAAACTACAAATCTCAGACCTTATCTCATTCAGCTGCATTGTTGAAACCTTAGTTTATTTTTTTTTTGAGTAATGAAGCAGAACCCCTGGATATATTTTATTTTGTTCTTCTGAAGCAAACCTTTTGTTCTTTTTTTTTTTTTTTTTTTTTTTTTTTTTTCTTTTTGATTTAAACTCTTCTCTGGAGTTCAGCTTTCAGTTCCCACAGATAATTATTTAATTCCTCTTTGAACGTTTCACTCGGGGCTGTTCTGTTAAACCTTCAGGCGAATTCCTCTCTTGGACTCACACAGTGGTTCTTGACTCCAATCTTCTGCTCTTCCTTCGTGCACAAACCTCCCGCTGCAGACACTACTATTCGCTGCTACCACCCTTTCTAAGAATCTCTTTAATCCCTTCCAGGGAATTTCACCCAAGGGAAAAAAAAAAAAAAATCTTTGATACAACCTTGGTCCAGATCTTGGGTCCCAAAAGCCTGCAGCTGTGCAGGCTGGCTCACACCTACCCTATACCCATCTGTCAACCCAAAAGTTACCCCAGGGTTCGTCACGTCTTTCCAGGCAATGGGGAAAGCCCACACTGGCTGTTTGCTCTCCTTTTCGCCTTGAAAAGCTCCCTGTACAAAAAGCGTGGTCAAAGAGCCACTAAGCTGGCCCTTTCTCATAAAATAATGCCTCTGCTCACTGCTTAGTATCTGTTCCAGGTCATGTGCAAAATAATGCAATCAACATGGAACTAAGATGCTGTCTTTAAGATTACCCAGTCACAAGCCAAAGATCATACAAGTATATCATTTATTTTTAA